CAAGAAAGAATATGTTGTGAGGTGCTCAAAAGTCCAACATTTGACACACAAACAAGAAGGTGGGCTTGATGTCTTCATGTGTTACAGTATCGACTTGAGAAAAGTATTTTTGTCAGACATCTGTGTGTCACCCTCTCCATGACATCTCAGGCCTATAAGTAAACAGAACTCGGAGATGGAGAACCTCACATACCTCCAGCCACATAAAACCACATTTCTTCAACCTACCTCAGAAGGAAGAAGTGAATCAGTTGTGGTTGTATCACGATCTCATCGCATTCCAGAAAATGAGCAAAATGGGTTCCCATCAATATACGCTCTGTCGTCAGCTTAAGCTTGCCTGAATGATATTCAAGACACATTTACAAATTGAGGTTGTAATTTTCCCAGGAAACCACTTGTCTTCTAGTATTATGAATTTCCAGGCCTGTATTTAGGTTGAGACAATGTTAAACACTTGTACTGAGATCACACACGGATGATATATTACAACACAAGAGATTAAATTAATCACATACTATGTCAAACAGGTCACATATGCATACACATGTACACTCGGGTCAATCAAATGAATAAGGTCACAGATAAGAGATTTTCATTGTTAGAACATCCAAGTCATATATACAGTCGGCTCAAGTCATAGATCATCTACCATGGTCACATTTAGATGCTTAGACATCATGCAGCATATTAGACATTACAGTTTGATTTGTACCACATCACAGCAGTGTGTTGCAATTTCGACACTACATAAATTTCTTTGTGTGCAGCCAGATCACAGATATGTGTATATTAGTTTTCAATTAAATGAACAAGGTCATAGATAAGAGCTATTCATTGTTAGTACATCCAATTCACATACATTCGGCTTAGGTCACAGATCATCTACCATGGTCACATTTAGATCCTCTGACATCACGCAACATATTAGACATCAAATTAAAAGCACAAATGCAATTCCATACACATGCTTCATTGTCACTAACAAATCAATAACTAGAAGTCTTGTAATAAAACCAACAGTTTGAATTGTATCCCATCACAGCAGTGTGCGTAATTTCAACAATACATAAATTTCTTCGTGTGCAGCCAGTTCACAGATATGTGTATTAGTTTTCAATCAAATGAATAAGGTCACAGATAAGAACAATTCATTGTTAGAACATCCAAGTCACATACACTGGGCTTAAGTCACAGATTATCTACCATTGTCACATTAAGATCCTCTGACATCACACAACATATTAGAGTGATGAAACCGACTGGAACCAACTAAAGTTCACAAATGTCCAGTACGTAATCCTTACTTTGTACAAAATGTCCATCATGTTTTTTCATTCTTCGATAAACATATTAGATCCTCAGTGTGAGTTATTCATTTGATTGAAAACTAATACACATATCTGTGAACTGGCTGCGCACGAAGAAATTTATGTATTGTTGAAATTACGTACACTGCTGTGATGGGATAAGAACAATTCATTGTTAGATCATCCAAGTCACATACACTGGGCTCAAGTCACAGATTATCTACCATGGTCACATTAAGATCCTCTGACATCAGACAACATATTAGAGTGATGAAACCGACTGGAATCGACTAAAGTTCACAAATGTCCAGTACGTAATCCTTACTTTGTACAAAATGTCCATCATGTTTTTTCATTCTTCGATAAACAAAAAATAAAATAAAAAAGAAAAAGAAATAACCTAATTCTATTGGACTTCTGCTCAGTCACAGACACCAAATGTTTTTTCGTTGGGGTTTCCTTGGGGCTCTTCTCAGACCTCCTCTCACTTCTTCTTTTTGTTGTGTCTTCGACATTAATAACCCCTCCTACATCCTTCAATTTCTCCATTAGAATTTGATTTTTCCGGTAAATATAGGCATGTACTCACCACGGTGGTTCCTGCACAAATTGAATTTGACAATAGTGAGATTGTAAAGTAACTAAACGGCGATGTCTGGACTCTTGATGGATGAGTTCAAAAGAGGGAGGGTTTGGAGATGACATGAAATCGCAAGGAAGAGAGAGAGGGTTTGGACATTACGTGAAATCGTGGGGGAAGAGAGAGATAGGAGATGATTGATATGGTAGTTAAGAAAATTGTAATTTGAATTATGATAATTAAGGAATTGCGCCATGAGTTAATATACGTATCAACTAACTATTAAATGATAAAAAAAAATGTTTCACATTTAATTATTATATAAAAACCTAACTTGTACATAAAAAACTTTCCCACCTGATGTTTGTAGTTCAATCTTTAAACACCTGAGACGGTGTAATTTCCACTAAGTTAAATTAAGTTTTGCTTTTGATAAATTGTGACTAATAAAAGTTTTTAGGAATTTAATTAATGCAAAAATTTTAGATTTTGTTTTATATATATTTTTCTTATATTTCTGATATTGTTCTAAATATTAGGTAATTTAAAGGATTTTTTTTTCTTATCGTGATAAAAAAATTTGTTTAATAAAAATTTCTTAAATCATATGTTTAAGAATTTAAATAATTAAAAAATTTCAGAATTTCATGTATAATTTTTTTTTTCATTTACATTCTTTATATTATTCTTAATATGGTAATTAAAACAATGCTCTTTTTATCACGATATGGAGAGATTGAATCGTTCATATAATCAGTAATAAGAAAAATCATTATCTTTTTATTTACACGATTAGAATGCCAAAAAATTCGCCTCAACGTCCAACTTTGCAATATAGAAGGAATACGACTTGTATGAGCCTTGATAACACGTCACTAAAATTTTGTCAATGATGCAACGGTCATATTTGGCTACCATTTACATCGACATGAATAACCGTCATATGAGTTTGTGATAATTCTACGAAATTGCAGTAGTCAAAGTCACAATTATTTTTCATATCTCATGTGAACTCATCATACGAATTTGTTGCAGTTACACAGTATAGAATTAATTAGATACTTTTACGTGTTTCCTTGTGGGGTTCCTGTCCTCTTAGGCGAGAGCTATGAGCTCCCGATGATCAGACACAATACCCAAACGTTATTCCTATTGCCCAAATTAGCAGCTAACATATTGATTGATTTCATGAATAGGGACAATTTAGTATCCTCCCTTAATTAAAAGAAATAGAAAAACATACACATCTTTGTTCATGATCGATATGTTTAAATTAATTTCAATGGATAAAAGTGAGAGAAGAGAATGTTTGATATACATGCATTGATGCCATCAATTCCAAATTGGTAAAACTTCCCTTGTAATTAGGAAACTCCAAGTTCTCTTCTGGTTACATTTCAAGACAAAAATGTATGCGAATCGCAAACTACGTAGGTGTAAGACACACATGCGAGTCTCAACCGTTGATGTAAGTGTTAAAGCACTTTAATGAGCAAGATTTGACAATCTAAAAGAGCCCATCTTTTTTCCTGCAAATACTGGATTGAGAGTGCAATATTTTTTATTTATTGGCAAAAGCTTTAGAGAAATGTGAAAATTTTCAATTTCTTGAAAATAATGAGAAAAAAGGGTCATTTAAAAGGCTCATGCACCTCCATGGCTGATAGATCATGAAAATTGAAAAAGCATATAAGTTCCACCCACAAATTGAAGAACATAACAAAGTTAAGTATGTTAGTGAAGTGTTGTGCAAAATCCAATAGTAAAAATTGAATATACTAGAAAATATAAGTTCCATTCATTGCATAACTCCTTCTTTTCGCATCATCTTTTTTTTTTTTTTTGGCTTCTAAGAACATCTCCAAGAGACCACCTATCTATAAAAACATTTTATGCATAATAAAGAGCATTTTAGATTTAGAGAGTAAATGTTTTATATACTTTAGTATTACTCTCTATCTTGACTCATTATTTTGTTTTTCCAATGAACATATATTAATTTCTCCCCATCTCTTATTTAACATAGCCAATAAATTCAAATGTGATTTGAATAATTTAAATTGTGGATTATTGAAGCTTGTAACTTATTAAATTCAATCATTGTTAATTAAGAATAAAGAGTGAATCACTTTTAATTTTAAAAAAGTTAAAATAGAAAGTCTACGGAAACTTAATTTTTAAGCATCAACTCTCTAAAATAGAAAGTGTGTTGCATTTTGAGAGTCCTGAAAATGTTCTACCTAGCTCTTCCTACGTATGTATGTGAATTATCTACATTCCTTTAAAAGAGTGAATCCATCTTTCACTATTCATTCGTGTAACCTTGTTTTCACACTGTAAATAGTTAATTACTATTCATTAGCTGGTTCAGATGTGCCACGTACCTTAACTGGATTGGATTTTTTTCCACGTGTGAAGTCATGCCATCTGATGTGCTACACTGTAACTGTTTGTGTGTGGTAAGAAAAAGTAGATGTTAGATATTTTTTTCCAACTTCGTCAATTGTGGGTGAGCATTCATTACTTGTCTGAAAATTTGACTTAAGTGTTATTTTTGGTTCTGTTGGAAAAAGAGCAAGAGCTATTTCTTCCACATGTGCTCTGCACCTATCTGTTGGAAGATAAGCACGTGCAAAAATATCTTTCATATAATAATAAAATATTAAATAATTACAAAAGCAGAGATAGGAATCAGGGGCTTCCTTACAAGTTAACTTCTCTCGTTTGCCAGAGCCCTCTCTCATTCCAATACACTGAGATAATAAAATCCTCTATTAAACTCTCTTCTTTTGCAAATTGAATTCACATGTAACTTCCATTTTTCCAAACAATTATTGTGAAAATAAATTATTTTGTTGGAAGATCGTCGACTTAGAAAGAGAGTTTTACCGTTAAGGATCCTTGGAGGTTTAACTGACCGGGATTCTTTAGTTTGTTAAGTGGATTCTTAATTAATTAATAAGTGGACTTGGAGAAGAAAAGCAATTTCTTCAATATTGAGGATGAAGGATGTTGTAACGTGATACGGCACTATTGTTGATTTCACATACATAGAAATTTTTCCATTTTTACATCAGTCGCGGGGCTTCAAAGGTTCATCTTAACTTGTACTTTCTCTCTGCGATTTTCATTTTCATTTTAATTTCTTTGTTATTTAGATTAATACTACTTGTAGGTATGTTTTATTGATTTTTTTCTTGTCCTTTTTTCATCAAAAGCTGTAGAAGAGATTTGTGTGGAAGTGACGACGAAAATCAACCTTCTTGCTGAAAATTAGAAATCCGTTCTAGGGGGTCTCCTTTGTCTGGTTTGTGTAAATATATATTGATCAACAATCTCTGCTTTACATTCTCCATCTCTATTTCCTCCAATTTTTCCGTAGCCATATGAGTTTTATGATGCATATTAATAATTTGGTGGAAGAATTTAAAATTTTTCAAGTATTGCAAGATTGTATTTTGCCGTGTTTTTGGTGATTCGAAAAGCCTTTGTTAGGTTGCTTAAGTTTTAACTATTTCCAGATTATTCTAGCATTAAATTCTAAATCAATTAATTACTTTCCAATCTAAGTGACATGGACATGATGTGCTTGACAATTTAGTCTTTGGATAATCCATAATTGTGTTTTATCCTCGCCGACAGGGTCTAGGCCATCTTCTCCAGGGTCTCATTGTGAAAATGAAGGTTTTAACCGTGCTTATAACTTATAAGCACAGTCCTTCCTATAGCTCATTATATAAGTATTCTAGAATGCCTTCTATTTATTGGCAAGTAGTGTGAGATTTAATTTGTTGGGTCATTTGTTTCATTCATAATCTGATAAACGGGTTTCTCATTCTCTATCGAAATACATAAAGATGGTAATTTTCAAATTTGATGCTATTTTCCTGTTATGACCGAATAATATGAAGCTTTTATATATATAATAAGATGAAACAAATAATTTTGATGCATCAATGTACAAGAATTAAATTACCTAATAAATTTTATGCTAGAGTAGTACTTTGTGAGGAATGCTTTTTATTTTTGGAAGTTTGAAATTGATAAGTAATAGCCAACAAATTGGAATTCATTTATCAACAGATTTTTTTTCTTCCATTTGAACTTGAAGTATGCGGTTATTTTATTTCATTAATAATTATTTTCAATAATAGATTCATGCATTTTACCTTCTTCATCTTTGCTGTTTAAAGCCTTTCTTTGTAAAAATTTGAGATTGCCAATTATGAGAAAGAATTGGAGCACATCAAGCTATGACATGACATGAATATGTTGCATTATTAAGAAAGTAAATTCAAGTTAATTAAGTTTTAACAATCAATAAAGTAGATTCATACATGAACTGATGATGTAAAGTTTTTATATTTTCATCAATCCGTGGAGAGCAAGTAGTGGGTTTTTCCTGCGGCGCTTGGATTTATCGAGGGTTTACAAGTTAAATTAAATGGCACAACGTTTGATCTTATCATAACATTACTCAGATATTCCATATGAACAATTGTATCTGGGTAACAAGGTTGGTATTATTTATGTTATGTTAGGTATAAATAAATGTTGCCTTCTTTGGCTAATAAATTTCTCTTCTACTTGAGTATAGTCTATTGAAATGACAGGTATTCTAATTTAAATTGAAAACTAAATTATAATGAGTGCCAAAATTACCAAATTTTGTATTATAATGCATGATAATTAGTATTTTCAGTTTATTATAATCACATCTCATATAATATTTTCATCAACAGACATCACCGGCATGAAAGATGGCAAGCTAGGATCGGAAGAGTTGCTGCTAATAAAGATTTATAGTTGGGAACTTTCAGTAAGTAACCTACCTGAATAGGCTATATTCTAATGGCTTGTTTGATAAGCTTAACTAAAATGGACTTCAATACATACATAGTATAGGAGTATGTTAAACGTCTTTTCTTCGTTTTCAGATTTCAGATTCCAAACACACAAGAGGAAGCAATAGAGGCTTACGATATTGCATCCATTAAATTTCGAGTACTAAATGCAGTGACTAATTCAAAATAAACAGATATGATGTGAAAAGCATAATGGAAGAAGCACGTTGCCAAGTGGCAGTGTTGCTAACATGGCTGGGCTATGATGTGCTAGAATGACCAAGAGTCTGAGGGAGTGGATTAAGCAGAAAACAATGACTTCACTGGGTCCCACTATCTTTGTTTTGTTTTGTTAGAATGGTAAACTGTGTTTTGTTATATTGCATATTTGTATTCTTGTTTTTCTTTTTTAAAAGTAGTAGATGTTCTTGAATTCACGTCCATTAATTTGATCTAATTTTATCTTTCTGATTCCAATTATGCTGGGAAGGGCGAGTAGCTTTCTTGGATTCTCCTCTAATTATTTTTGAACACTTCTGTATCTGATGAAGGAAGAGATGAAAAATAAAACCATCGAGTTGCAATCTAAAACTTCATATCACCAGATTGTTAAAGAGGTGGGTCATTTTTCTATGCATTGTCGTAATCCTGTATAGGACAATTACCTAAATAATAGATTTTGGTTGTCGAGGGAAAGAGATTATTTACATGCTAGCAACTGCAAACTTCAACATGTTTTAGCTAGGTCGATGTCCATAGCATTTGCTTCTGTTATTTTTCTTATTGTGTACCTTCACAATTATAAGGTTTATGTTGTAGTTGGTATGCCATGGAGTCATGGACTGATTCTTCCCTTTAAAAGCTTCTGAGTAAGCATACAACATTCTATCGTGGCAGGGCTAGTAATCAAGGGATGGGACAATGGTGTCAAAACGATGGAGGAGGGTGAAAATGCCATTTTTACCATACATCAGTTGACAAATGGTGAATCTTGTTCTCCTCTTACTCTTCCTCCAAATGCAACTCTACAGTTGATGTTGATTTTCTGTACCGAGGGAGAGAAATAGCAGAATCCCAAGGATCATGATGAAGTGGTTGGTACATGAAACACCCTCTTCAAAGTTGGTACGATGATGATTCGTTGAATAATATTAACTGTTATTTTATTTTGCTATCCGGTGAAATATGAGGCTCAATTGGAAGATGGTACCATAATCTTAAAATCAGACGGAACTGAATTCGCTGTTAAATAAGGTAAACTTGAATTTATTTGTCCATGTTACAGTTGTGCTATACCTTTTTCTTTCTGAAAGTAACCATTTATTAAGGTCACTTTCTCCTGCTCGCGCCAAGGCTGCGAAGATGATGAAGAAGGGTGAAAAGGCTCTTCTCACAGTCAAGTCATAATGTAAGAACCAATTTTGTAATTTGTTAAACTCTAAACTGGAAATCAAATAAATTAGGCAGAGGTTCAATTCTATATGTTCTATTATTGCAGATGGATTTGGCAAGAAGAATAAACCAGCCTCTGATGGTGCTTCAGCTATCTCACCAAATGCAACATTGAAGTCAAAGGCCTTGGTGCCAATTGTTTACTTAGTTCGGAAGCTTTGACTGCTTTTCAAAATCTTGGTGTGTATCACTATTCTACATCTCAAGGAATTTCTAAGATTTATTCTCGGTATTTAATTTTAATGGATGTTCATTCGCTGCGTATTGCTTAAAATGTTAGGCACAAAACATGAACAACTGAAAAAAGCAGCAGTATAAAGAAGCTAATTGAATACAAAATATTTGCATTATTTAATCATTCACTGCTGTGCTTTAATGCAGAAGCTATTTGTTCTTTAAACTATACCTATAGTAACCTGTGTCTTTGACGGTTGCAATGTCTGCATATTAGTCTATGGGCAAACTGATACTGGCAAGACATATACCATGGAAGGACTAATGGCAGTGTTTTTGAGAGACATATACCATTAGTTCTGAATAGAAGCATTTCTGATGGCAGTGTTTATGAAACAACCATAGAGTGGCTTTATAAGGTTCAATATGCCTTCTTTTACCCTTTATTTTGTTTATTTTTCCTCCTTGTTTACATATGTAAAATTTGTAATGCTGAAGAGCAGCTTTCATTAATGAAGAGTTGTGTGCTCATGAAGAATATACCATGATCTAATTTTATTTTCTCTTGTTTTAATGCTCATAATTTTATTCTTAACAATTCAGAGTTGTAGGTGGAGATAAAATTTTCCTTGAGAAGGTTAGAGACGTTGCTGATAGACTGCTGCCTACATGGAACACTCCTTCGGGCATCCCATATAATATTGTTCACTTGGCTCGTGGAAATGTACATAATCCAGGGTCGACTGGGGTAAGTCGTGATAATGAATACCTCATTTCCACAAGCTGTAGTTTATTAATGCTAAGTTTTCGTTATTATTTACAGTGTGGATGCCTGCTTAAACGTCCGATTTAATTAGTTTGACATAATCTCATAGTTTTGGGAAATAGAGATTGTCTTATTCCTGTGCTTGATGTGTGTGCAGAGATTTCTCATGTATAGGGAGATCTTTCTCTCTCAGCTATGCTCTTTTTTCTCAATGTTTTATTTATACAATCCCTTTGCCGGTATTTTACATGTGGACAAAGCAAGACATAACCTTCATGAATATAGTGCCTTCTTAAATCTGCACACTTTGCTTTTCTCACTCACTCATTCAAAACTTAGTGCCACCTCCATATGTCTGGAGTTGAATGATCCACTGGCTGGGATAGTCTCAGGTTGATGAAGCAACCACTGTAGAGGACACCAAGACTGAAGACACTGAAATGGAGATTGAAACAGATGTGGGCAAACTGATGAAGTCGTCTGGAGAGAAGCGGAACAGGGTGAGGAATTCAAAAGGTCCTTCAAGTTTTAAGGCCACAGCAAAAGCTTCAGCTAGGATGAAGGTAGGAGAGAATGTTTTGTTTTACCTGTTTCAAAAGTAGGGGCCTTGTTCTATGTGATCGTCGGTAAGTTATAAAAATTGTGTTCAACCTTCAGAATTCTAGGCTGAAAATGAAATAAAAACAATATTCTAAACAATAATTTCTTGACTATATGAGATCGTCGGTAAGTTATAAAAATTGTGTTCAACATTCAGAATTCTAGGTTGAAAATGAAATAAAAACAGTATTCTAAACTATAATTTCTTGGCTATATGTGATCGTCGGTAAGTTATAAAAATTGTGTTCAACGTTTAGAATTCTAGGTTGAAAATGAAATAAAAACAGTATTCTAAACTATATTTTCTCAGTTGTACTACCTGTCCAGGCCCCTTTGCATAAGGTTTGTACAAATGCGCACACATAGGAGTGGACCCATGCAGGAAGCTTCTTCCAAATTTTCTTGGCTATATGTGTTTGGAATGCTTATCAATAATTGTGCCTTGTAATGTAGGCAGTCTTTCTATTGGCCATGTGTATTTTTATCTTATCATTCATACGGACATAATTAAATTTTACTGTTATCGTCAATTGTAATAGAGTGCAGTTGTTTTCATGCCAAAACTCGCTTAACTACTCCTTAATTATTGCATATTGCAATGTTGAATAGTAACGTCTTCTCACATTCATGGTTTAGATATTAGTTTTCAAATTTTCTGAAGCCTTCGAATATAATTTATCATATTACATACATTTATTTTATGAGCATAAATTGTAACAAATAGGGATGGTACGTATGAAAATGGAATTTGCATCCATCGTTTAAAATACATGACTCTTAACATGTGCATTTACGCATCAGTCTTTATTCAATCAATGTATATCTTCTGTCAATCCTTAACATTGAACATGCTAATATTACCTTCAAAATTTCCTAGCCTGTGCATTGCACAGGCAAACGACTAGTTATGAGAATAAAGTTCAATATGGTTGTGAGAACACCTTCTAAGACATTTGAAAGAAGAAAAAATAAAATAAATTGGGAGAAAAAATTGAACATTAATTTTCAAATACTAAGCAAGGGCTGCCATGTATTTTTTTTTTCTTTTCACATATTCAGATACATTTTTCCTAATTTCTAAAGATGATATATTCTAATACTGTGTTTGTGATTTCTTGGCAGTTTTTGCATTCGATATTTCCATATCAACTATATTTCACAACAAACAAGCTGCATTCATTCTTTATTCAAATTATAAATTAAATATCTTAACAATTGCTTCTAACAGAATGGACCATGAAATAGTCAAACAACAAGAAATACGAATGTATAGTTCCTATTTTCTTTTCGAATTTCAACCTTTAATGATCGACTTGTAGGCAAAGACCAGCATTTGCTACATACCTGAGCAACCCATTAATGCTTGAAGCTCCAATCACTTGATTTTCCCTTGTGAATTATGCCATTTTCGTTCAAGTAGTCAACAAATTCGTCAATAAGATATGGCCAAGCACCTTCAGGATCATAGTTTGATAAAGTAGGATCAATGGTCTGCATTTACACAAAAGAGCATATCTGTCATGAACGGCGATTAGATAATCCTGGTGGATCTTGGTAACCAAAAATAAATCATGTGGAGTTGAGATCCAATATCAAATTCGTCTTTCTTAATGCACCCTCATGGGTACAATGCTGAAATTTTCACATTTTGATCAAACAAAATTTAAAAGTCGTGCAAAAAAGAACAGAGACGATGTAAAATTTTGGGTGGTGGGAATTAAACGCAAGAGAGAGCATGCTCCAGTCCCAAACAAATCTTATATTCATTCATTTCTTGCATCTTAATTTACCCTTGCAAACTCCAGTAGCTGGGACCAGGTGTCCCGAGATATTGCTTTGTTATGGCGCTCCTGAATCCAAAAATCCAAGGAGGAGAAAAATGTCAAAAGTGAACCATAAAGTTAAAAATGAACACAAAAAAACAACAAATAATATTCCCATGATTCTTCATAAATAATTCAAGCTTTGGGCACGATCAAGCATATGAAATTACATCAAACCACATTAGAGAGAGATTCAATACCACGCTCTTACCAGAGGAAAATAGTTAAAGAGTGTTAAAAGATAATGTTGAGAAACAAGGCAGCAATTAACCACACTGATTTTAGCTTATTTATCTTTTTGCGGGTGAGGAAGCAAATTAACTACATTAACTGCTAATTCCCTTAGTCAGTATTTTTTTTTAGGAAAACCTTGAATGATACAAAGTCCACTCAGAATCCTCTCTATGTACACTTCTTCCATTTATTATCCATTTTCCTACCAAAAACCAAACAACTGCGCTTTTACAAAACAGTAAGACGACCGGCAATGGAGTATTTGTTTGGATACAAATACCTGAAATCACAAATTTTGAGCTAATAAGACTAAATTACATCAGTTGAATTAACACTCCGTTACTTCTTACAGTTCAATTTATTCAACAGGACAATGGCAGATTGAGTGGTACAAATGATGAGACGTGGAATTTTTGCATGGTAGAATGGAGACAGACAAGGTATGAAATAATTGTTTTCTAAGACATTAATATTTTTTTATACATGTACAGAAAATGAATGATAGGATTTGAGGGAGAGGATCCAAATGCAGTTTGTTATACCTGTAAGAACTGGCACCAATAATCAACTAATGGCCACTGCTTTTCTGCAAATAGCAACTGCCACATCCCAATTGCTGTATCCAATGCTAAAGACTTCTGACCCTGAAATCAGGATAGAAAATCAGCAACCTGAATACATAGTAATTATCAGCTGCTTGAATGCAAGTTAAAAGCAATCTGATTCACCCACAAGATGAAATTTTAGAAGCCTGGTAGAGGATAAAAAGACAGAAAGCAAAGGCTTAAAGTATTTAACTGTGCATTGCTTCTCCTTTGGGGGGAATAGAGATTTTACTTAATATTTGACTTCTTAGAGAACATATAGTGCCTATGGTTTTCTACTTCGTGCCAACAACATTTAGTTACAGCGGGATGTTAATATATGAGACGGTGTCAACTGAAGATTGGATAAAAATATTTTTCAAAAATTCAAATTTTAGTTATTAATATTAAAGTAAAAAAACCTGCTCAGACACAAAAGAAATCTCACAAATTTCAAGGTATTAGATGCAAAATATTTGAATTCAGAAATAGATTCTATTTCTTTATATATAATGATACAATTTACTCTAGTTTGTTGAGCTCCCAAGTTATCAAAAAGTACATTACTGAAAAATTATTACTTGAAAGGCAGCATTTTAAGGGAAGGTAACTTCATACTATCATGAAGCCACAAATTCTGTTTTGTTGCTTTCCAGGATTATCAGATTCAAAGGATTTGATGCATTCCACAGTTTCCCGAGCCATCCCAATTTTTTTTTTTTAATAGAAAATAGCAAAATAATTTTAGAGAGAACATTTATGGTTAATTCAAGCTGATGATTTCAACTAAAAGGGGGGCAAAATTCAAATAATCAAACCAACACATTACCTTCTCTTTTGCCCAGCCAAAAGAAAAGTTATATATCTCTCGGACCTTTTCTGGACAGAATAAATCAAATAGATAGTTTAATAATAGGAAAAAATTCAAAAGTCTTCAATGTATTTTAGGGACAGTTAATGCCAACTACGTCAACTAATAATTGCCACAAAATTTGAAATATGAAAATGATCTCTACTAAAACAACCCACTTTCCCAATAATTTTGCCTTGAAATGATAACAATGAGGAAGCACAAGGAGATGGCAGTAATCATTAAGCATACTAGATCATCAGTGCAAAAGTACTGTGTGCAAACCCAAAGATTAAATGTAGTGATGCAATCAAGAAAGAGAATAGCTTCTTTGATTAAGAACTGAGAATTCCATGTCATCACATACGACTGTCTTTAAGTTCAGAACGCATAAATGGTATTCTTTCCCTGAACTTCTCCAGTGAATCTATCCTGCAATTAAAGATATAAGCGCCAATATAATCATTGACAAAAGCTCCAACTCAGGATTACCAACAAAACAAACATGATAGACTTCACTAATATTTACCCAAGAGACTGTAATCCACCAATGAATTCCTGCTTCGAAAATTCACACATAGTAGCAGCCTTCATATGCCATGAGACCACCAACTGCATACTAAACAAATCAAATGTCAACTAAGATCATATAAAAACAATTAACATGTTCAAAAATGTTAAAAATTTACATCAACATAAAAGTCATTCTTCAAGCTATTCCAGCTCCAAAAATTGATATTTCCTTAAAAATCAAAAACAGTAAATATGACAATCACGACATCCGCACTACAATGAATCTCCAGAAGTAGATGCAATCAAGAGCAAAGCTCGAAACTGCTAGCAAAACTATTTAATAGAGCGTTCCATCATTTCATTGAATGTAATTCCAAGTCATGTTCATTAATTTCCAGTTCTTTTTCGCTGGCGGTCATTGGTATTTAATTTCTAATACCCTATCATATGAACAAGGCTTGAAGGGTTTGTGCCTCATGAATTGATCCAGCATATTCAGTGGCATATTCCAATAGAATAACATAGTTATATTTATAAATTATATATTTACATTGTCTTTAGGACACTTTGTTGGTGGAAATTGGGTTTTACATCTGGTGGTAGAAAAAGGAAAAAAATATGAAACAATTTATCGTATGATAAGCGGAAAACATATCAAAATAAAAAAAGAAACTAAAAAATAAAAAATAAAAACTATAAAACAAATCTAACCAGAATGTTAATCCTTGATAACATAATTCCATTCAATCCTACATAATCAAGACATTTAGGCAATACTACTAATTTAGAGTACAGAATACAAATGCCATACCATGACTATATCCTGAGGGTCCACCTGCCAAGAAAATGAAGGAATTATGTTATTCAAACAATAGTGATCAGTTAGAGATATGCTCCCCCATTTTTTCCATTTTCAGAGAGGATAAAAGGATTTCACCTCCCCCAACCCAAAAATAATAATAATAAAATAAAAAATGAGGTTCAAATTCGAGCTAGGCTTTGGCCTTCGGTTGGAGATTTATTTAAAAGACTACAAGCGTTACTCGAATAACTTTGTTGGTATCATGGATAAAATATGATACATGATACCCAATGAGAAACAAAATTATTTGATTATGCATGCGACAATACTTATCAAATCTACCTGAAGATCATTGCACAGGTAACTGATTCCATCAGCCAAAATCATATCAGCGTGTGAATCTGTAATTGATGAAAGCTTATGTAAGATTTAACTATTAAAAAACAAATAATGCTCAGCACACCCAATTTTTTATATGGGGGTGCTCTCAGATCTCATGAATGAGAAGCCAAATTAATAAGATAAGAAAATAGTGAAGCCCAGTATCATTTGTTTAGTACATGAAAAAAATACATTGGCTGAACGTTCACTGCCATCCAAAAGTTTACAACAAGAAATCCTCAAAATTTTTCACATTACTATTTTGATCACTATATAAAATCACTTTTTTGTTGAGTATTCTCACAACAGTTTTCGAGACTTAATGCACATCAACATAACTCAAAATTCAGCAATTGATGCTAGATGCAAAGAACTTTAAATGGAGCTACAAGAAAGCAAGAATCAACAGGAAACTGACATTTACAGAGAACAAAAAGACTATTTACTCTGACAACATTCAAATATCCCCTATATTCTCCAGCTTTAGTTTTCGTCACTCTGAGAGTGAATTAGCATTGTCATTCCAAAGTGGAAAAAGGAACATCCTATAACAAAACCAACCTGGCCCATTAATGTAATTTTAAATCATGTGCAACTTGTCAAGTATTATGATCTTGGCTGGCACTAACATATGAGACAATCTCAAATAAGAATTGAATCCGAGTACATTCTTTTTTTTTATCTCATTACTACCACTCCGATCTTCATCCTATGTTTGAACCGAAAGAAAACCACTCATTTACTAATGATTACTTGGGGAATTCATAGTAAAGAAAGTTGTTACAGAATAGATACTATGAAAACTGTGTTGCGCCAATATGATAAAAGAGGTTGGAATACTAGGAAATGAGTAGTTGATGAAGAGAATATAGAGGATTACTGGCCTAGACTATGTTTGATAGATAGATAGTTACTGCATGGATTTAATTAGTTTGACATAATCTCATAGTTTTGGGAAATAGAGATTGTCTTATTCCTGTGCTTGATGTGTGTGCAGAGATTTCTCATGTATAGGGAGATCTTTCTCTCTCAGCTATGCTCTTTTTTCTCAATGTTTTATTTATACAATCCCTTTGCCGGTATTTTACATGTGGACAAAGCAAGACATAACCTTCATGAATATAGTGCCTTCTTAAATCTGCACACTTTGCTTTTCTCACTCACTCATTCAAAACTTAGTGCCACCTCCATATGTCTGGAGTTGAATGATCCACTGGCTGGGATAGTCTCAGGTTGATGAAGCAACCACTGTAGAGGACACCAAGACTGAAGACACTGAAATGGAGATTGAAACAGATGTGGGCAAACTGATGAAGTCGTCTGGAGAGAAGCGGAACAGGGTGAGGAATTCAAAAGGTCCTTCAAGTTTTAAGGCCACAGCAAAAGCTTCAGCTAGGATGAAGGTAGGAGAGAATGTTTTGTTTTACCTGTTTCAAAAGTAGGGGCCTTGTTCTATGTGATCGTCGGTAAGTTATAAAAATTGTGTTCAACCTTCAGAATTCTAGGCTGAAAATGAAATAAAAACAGTATTCTAAACTATAATTTCTTGGCTATATGTGATCGTCGGTAAGTTATAAAAATTGTGTTCAACGTTTAGAATTCTAGGTTGAAAATGAAATAAAAACAGTATTCTAAACTATATTTTCTCAGTTGTACTACCTGTCCAGGCCCCTTTGCATAAGGTTTGTACAAATGCGCACACATAGGGGTGGACCCATGCAGGAAGCTTTTTCCAAATTTTCCTGGCTATATGTGTTTGGAATGCTTATCAATAATTGTGCCTTGTAATGTAGGCAGTCTTTCTATTGGCCATGTGTATTTTTGTCTTATCATTCATACGGACATAATTAAATTTTATTGTTATCGTCAATTGTAATAGAGTGCAGTTGTTTTCATGCCAAAACTCGCTTATCTACTCCTTAATTATTGCATATTGCAATGTTGAAACGTCTTCTCACATTCATGGTTCTAGATATTAGTTTTCAAATTTTCTAAAGTCTTCGAATATAATTTATCATATTACGTACATTTATTTTATGAGCAGAAATTGTAACAAATAGGGATGGTACGTATGAAAATGGAATTTGCGACCATCGTTTAAAATACATGACTCTTAACATGTGCATTTACCCATCAGCCTTTATTCAATCAATATATATCTTCTGTCAATCCTTACTAGCCTCTACATTGCACGGGCAAGCGACTAGTTATGAGAATAAAGTTCAATATGGTTGTGAGAACACCTTCTAAGACATTTGAAAGAAGAAAAAATAAAATAAATAATCATGAGCTCAAGTTGAGCCAAAAAGGGAGAAAAAATTGAACATTAATTTTCAAATACTAAGCAAGGGCTGCCATGTATTTTTTTTTTCTTTTCACATATTCAGATACATTTTTCCTAATTTCTAAAGATGATATATTCTAATACTGTGTTTGTGATTTCTTGGCAGTTTTTGCATTCGATATTTCCATATCAACTATATTTCACAACAAACAAGCTGCATTCATTCTTTATTCAAATTATAAATTAAATATCTTAACAATTGCTTCTAACAGAATGGACCATGAAATAGTCAAACAACAAGAAATACGAATGTATAGTTCCTATTTTCTTTTCGAATTTCAACCTTTAATGATCGACTTGTAGGCAAAGACCAGCATTTGCTACATACCTGAGCAACCCATTAATGCTTGAAGCTCCAATCACTTGATTTTCCCTTGTGAATTATGCCATTTTCGTTCAAGTAGTCAACAAATTCGTCAATAAGATATGGCCAAGCACCTTCAGGATCATAGTTTGATAAAGTAGGATCAATGGTCTGCATTTACACAAAAGAGCATATCTGTCATGAACGGCGATTAGATAATCCTGGTGGATCTTGGTAACCAAAAATAAATCATGTGGAGTTGAGATCCAATATCAAATTCGTCTTTCTTAATGCACCCTCATGGGTACAATGCTGAAATTTTCACATTTTGATCAAACAAAATTTAAAAGTCGTGCAAAAAAGAACAGAGAAGATGTAAAATTTTGGGTGGTGGGAATTAAACGCAAGAGAGAGCATGCTCCAGTCCCAAACAAATCTTATATTCATTCATTTCATGCACCTTAATTTACCCTTGCAAACTCCAGTAGCTGGGACCAGGTGTCCCGAGATATTGCTTTGTTATGGTGCTCCTGAATCCAAAAATCCAAGGAGGAGAAAAATGTCAAAAGTGAACCATAAAGTTAAAAATGAACACAAAAAAACAACAAATAATATTCCCATGATTCTTCATAAATAATTCAAGCTTTGGGCACGATCAAGCATATGAAATTACATCAAACCACATTAGAGAGAGATTCAATACCACGCTCTTACCAGAGGAAAATAGTTAAAGAGTGTTAAAAGATAATGTTGAGAAACAAGGCAGCAATTAACCACACTGATTTTAGCTTATTTATCTTTTTGCGGGTGAGGAAGCAAATTAACTACATTAACTGCTAATTCCCTTAGTCAGTATTTTTTTTTAGGAAAACCTTGAATGATACAAAGTCCACTCAGAATCCTCTCTATGTACACTTCTTCCATTTATTATCCATTTTCCTACCAAAAACCAAACAACTGCGCTTTTACAAAACAGTAAGACGACCGGCAATGGAGTATTTGTTTGGATACAAATACCTGAAATCACAAATTTTGAGCTAATAAGACTAAATTACATCAGTTGAATTAACACTCCGTTACTTCTTACAGTTCAATTTATTCAACAGGACAATGGCAGATTGAGTGGTACAAATGATGAGACGTGGAATTTTTGCATGGTAGAATGGAGACAGACAAGGTATGAAATAATTGTTTTCTAAGACATTAATATTTTTTTATACATGTACAGAAAATGAATGATAGGATTTGAGGGAGAGGATCCAAATGCAGTTTGTTATACCTGTAAGAACTGGCACCAATAATCAACTAATGGCCACTGCTTTTCTGCAAATAGCAACTGCCACATCCCAATTGCTGTATCCAATGCTAAAGACTTCTGACCCTGAAATCAGGATAGAAAATCAGCAACCTGAATACATAGTAATTATCAGCTGGTTGAATGCAAGTTAAAAGCAATCTGATTCACCCACAAGATGAAATTTTAGAAGCCTGGTAGAGGATAAAAAGACAGAAAGCAAAGGCTTAAAGTATTTAACTGTGCATTGCTTCTCCTTTGGGGGGAATAGAGATTTTACTTAATATTTGACTTCTTAGAGAACATATAGTGCCTATGGTTTTCTACTTCGTGCCAACAACATTTAGTTACAGCGGGATGTTAATATATGAGACGGTGTCAACTGAAGATTGGATAAAAATATTTTTCAAAAATTCAAATTTTAGTTATTAATATTAAAGTAAAAAAACCTGCTCAGACACAAAAGAAATCTCACAAATTTCAAGGTATTAGATGCAAAATATTTGAATTCAGAAATAGATTCTATTTCTTTATATATAATGATACAATTTACTCTAGTTTGTTGAGCTCCCAAGTTATCAAAAAGTACATTACTGAAAAATTATTACTTGAAAGGCAGCATTTTAAGGGAAGGTAACTTCATACTATCATGAAGCCACAAATTCTGTTTTGTTGCTTTCCAGGATTATCAGATTCAAAGGATTTGATGCATTCCACAGTTTCCCGAGCCATCCCAATTTTTTTTTTTTAATAGAAAATAGCAAAATAATTTTAGAGAGAACATTTATGGTTAATTCAAGCTGATGATTTCAACTAAAAGGGGGGCAAAATTCAAATAATCAAACCAACACATTACCTTCTCTTTTGCCCAGCCAAAAGAAAAGTTATATATCTCTCGGACCTTTTCTGGACAGAATAAATCAAATAGATAGTTTAATAATAGGAAAAAATTCAAAAGTCTTCAATGTATTTTAGGGACAGTTAATGCCAACTACGTCAACTAATAATTGCCACAAAATTTGAAATATGAAAATGATCTCTACTAAAACAACCCACTTTCCCAATAATTTTGCCTTGAAATGATAACAATGAGGAAGCACAAGGAGATGGCAGTAATCATTAAGCATACTAGATCATCAGTGCAAAAGTACTGTGTGCAAACCCAAAGATTAAATGTAGTGATGCAATCAAGAAAGAGAATAGCTTCTTTGATTAAGAACTGAGAATTCCATGTCATCACATACGACTGTCTTTAAGTTCAGAACGCATAAATGGTATTCTTTCCCTGAACTTCTCCAGTGAATCTATCCTGCAATTAAAGATATAAGCGCCAATATAATCATTGACAAAAGCTCCAACTCAGGATTACCAACAAAACAAACATGATAGACTTCACTAATATTTACCCAAGAGACTGTAATCCACCAATGAATTCCTGCTTCGAAAATTCACACATAGTAGCAGCCTTCATATGCCATGAGACCACCAACTGCATACTAAACAAATCAAATGTCAACTAAGATCATATAAAAACAATTAACATGTTCAAAAATGTTAAAAATTTACATCAACATAAAAGTCATTCTTCAAGCTATTCCAGCTCCAAAAATTGATATTTCCTTAAAAATCAAAAACAGTAAATATGACAATCACGACATCCGCACTACAATGAATCTCCAGAAGTAGATGCAATCAAGAGCAAAGCTCGAAACTGCTAGCAAAACTATTTAATAGAGCGTTCCATCATTTCATTGAATGTAATTCCAAGTCATGTTCATTAATTTCCAGTTCTTTTTCGCTGGCGGTCATTGGTATTTAATTTCTAATACCCTATCATATGAACAAGGCTTGAAGGGTTTGTGCCTCATGAATTGATCCAGCATATTCAGTGGCATATTCCAATAGAATAACATAGTTATATTTATAAATTATATATTTACATTGTCTTTAGGACACTTTGTTGGTGGAAATTGGGTTTTACATCTGGTGGTAGAAAAAGGAAAAAAATATGAAACAATTTATCGTATGATAAGCGGAAAACATATCAAAATAAAAAAAGAAACTAAAAAATAAAAAATAAAAACTATAAAACAAATCTAACCAGAATGTTAATCCTTGATAACATAATTCCATCCAATCCTACATAATCAAGACATTTAAACAATACTACTAATTTAGAGTGCAGAATACAAATGCCATACCATGACTATATCCTGAGGGTCCACCTGCCAAGAAAATGAAGGAATTATGTTATTCAAACAATAGTGATCAGTTAGAGATATGCTCCCCCATTTTTTCCATTTTCAGAGAGGATAAAAGGATTTCACCTCCCCCAACCCAAAAATAATAATAATAAAATAAAAAATGAGGTTCAAATTCGAGCTAGGCTTTGGCCTTCGGTTGGAGATTTATTTAAAAGACTACAAGCGTTACTCGAATAACTTTGTTGGTATCATGGATAAAATATGATACATGATACCCAATGAGAAACAAACTTATTTGATTATGCATGAGACAATACTTATCAAATCGACCTGAAGATCATTGCAAAGGTAACTGATTCCATCAGCCAAAATCATATCAGCGTGTGAATCTGTAATTGATGAAAGCTTATGTAAGATTTAACTATTAAAAAACAAATAATGCTCAGCACACCCAATTTTTTATATGGGGGTGCTCTCAGATCTCATGAATGAGAAGCCAAATTAATAAGATAAGAAAATAGTGAAGCCCAGTATCATTTGTTTAGTACATGAAAAAAATACATTGGCTGAACGTTCACTGCCATCCAAAAGTTTACAACAAGAAATCCTCAAAATTTTTCACATTACTATTTTGATCACTATATAAAATCACTTTTTTGTTGAGTATTCTCACAACAGTTTTCGAGACTTAATGCACATCAACATAACTCA